TGGCCGCTGGAATTTAACGGCCGTTGTCGTGACGTTCGTTCGTGCGCGACTTTTATCCGTGGAAACTCATCGCGAGGAATAAAGATTCGGAGAGATGGCGGTTTATGGGTTATTCAAAGTTAACGCGCCATGTAACTCGGTAGTCTCGGCGGTTCTCCGTAAGACGGCTACGTCGTAAGTACGTTTTAAAAAGCGGCACACGAGGGAAACGGTATTCCTCGCATTAATGCCGGCGGAAGACACATTGACGATGGCAATAAAAAGAATTGAATATAAAGCTGATTGTATATATGCGCGGGCACATTAGAACCGCGAAGGGAAGGAATTCGAGTTTACGGTCAAATAAATGTAATTATCCTACGCCGCAATAGAATACAACGATGTGTTTCGGTATTATACAACCACTAATTCACCCTCTCTGAGAGGGAAAGATTGCAATCGGAGCTAAAAGTAGCTGAATATCGTAAATGAATATTTGCATAATTATCTGCTTAATTAACTGGTAATTTTTAATTGAAATCGATTTCCTATTGAAAACCGTTTATACTTAAAAAGCGGTATCCGTAGGTATTTGAGAAGAATATCAGCTTCTGATCAATTCTGAAATGTAATGAAAGTCTGATTCGACGATTCAAAATTGTTGCAAAATGTAGGGATTATGTAGAAAGAGAGATAAATATATTTTCCATTTTAAACCTAATGCGTGTTAAATATTAATCTATTATTTTATAGTTTATTATTTTATAGTTCGAGATTAAATAAGGATACTTTCAACGAAATTGTATTAAAAAAATCGCAGTAAAAATGATAACCGATTAAAAAATCTTCTCCTCTGATGTGACTAATAAAATATTATAAAAAATAATACTACAAATGATAAAATAGAATCGGAAGTGCGAGAATAGTAGTAAGAAGATGACTTTGCTCGTTCGCAGTTGCTCGCCCACGACTACTTCCGCTTTAATAACGTCTCGTGCAGCCAAAAGACAAATTACTATGGCGCTCGCGTTTTCCGGAAAGTACCTAAGAGCATCTTTCCTGTGTCGAGCGAGCTGAGGTTCTATTCGGCGACGTAGATTAGCGAGGACGTTGCAGCCAGTCGAGTAAGGTTTGCTCTCCCTCTTCCCTCCCCCCTCCCCGGGTATTATACTTGCAGCCGCGGTAAGAAGTTGCGAATCAACATCTCGTTATCTAGAATTCGAAAACTTTCGCGTCTGCAACCAACCGACCACCTCTCCCCCCGTTACGTTTCTCTTCTCCCGAGAAGAGGCTGATTGTTGCGCGACCTTTTGTATAATTTCCGTCTATCTCTCGAGAAGATTGGAGCCTCCTTCGGGATCGCGACAAAAGTAAGTAGACGAAGTTGCGAGATTCAATTGATGAAAACAGCGAATTGTGTCGACCGGTAAGGAGCACACAACAGAGAGAAAGAAAGGAAGAGAGAGAGAGGGAGAAAGATACTTGACAACATCGATAACGAGGCATCGCAAATCTCTTATTTTCAACCCTTTCTCTCCGTCTTTCTTCCGAGAGCAATGACTTCGGCCGTGTGGACTTTCGCGAAGAGAACGCGACAAATGGAGACGAAGTCAAAGTCGAGGAAGCACCTCGTTTCCGAGGCTAAGAATACCTTATCGTCAGCATCTGAAAAATTTGGTCTAAGAAAAGTGACTGAAAAGTTCTAGCTAAAATAATCCACGAGAATATCTTGGATAAGGCTGGCTTATTTCAGAGACCGAGAACACCTTTAATCCTCAGGCAGAAACCTTGAAATTATTAATTAATCAATGGTCGTAGACAAAGAGAACGTCGTAATTCGAATCGGTTGGTTAGCACGGATACTTTCGTCATTCACAAAGCACGCCACTAAATCTCGCTCCGCGCGATTAATTTTACAGCGCGGTGTCATCAAGGGAGTCGAAAACTTCGAGACGACTCCTCGTCTCCTTGTATCCTATTTCGAGGGGGATCTGGACCGGCGTAGTTTCATCCCTCATCTCTCAACCCACTCCTTCTCTTAATACGCGAGCGGTGTACAATTTCGAAACTTAAAGGACGAAGTCAAGGAGGGCTCCGAGCGAATTTGCCTAAGTTCTCCGACTTCGCTTCCTCGCTCGTCCCTCGAATTATTTCGAGCTTCTATCCGCCGGTAAAAGTAATTTTGTTCCCGAACAGAGAAAGCGAGCGAGACCGACGCTGTGCCGAGCCGAGGTGAATCAAGCCGTCCGTGGCGAGGTGAGGCGAGCCAGTACAGAGACGGTGGGCAGATTCGGTGGAAGAGCACGCAGCCGGGGAAAGATGCTTTTAGTTTATTACCTCGAGGAAATTACGCCGGCGAGCCCCCGTCGACTTCGTTATTTTTTTTTCTTTTTTCGCTTCACTTACGACTAGCAGCGCCAGAAGACGCGAATCATCACGACGCAACGCCACTCGCTCACGAAGTTTAAAATCCCACAGCTCTTCCCGAAATGCACGATGTAAGCTCCGCCGCGCATTTTGAGGAATTACATCTTACGTTCGTAACGCCGAGATATTTCGACCGAGTCGTTACCGCGGCGCGTGTACAATCGCGCGGCACTTTTATCCGAGAGGATTTTACTCCGGGGAAAGGGCAACGCGATTGTTTCTTCCTCGGGAGGGAAGAGAATTGAGCAGGGATTTACATTAAGAATAGGTTATACCTCTCCACTTCAGACATAAGAACTTCTGTTTATTAAAGAGATGACTGAATTTTTCGCGAGTTATTCTCGCAGACAATCCAGGAACTTTGAGCATTTCTCATCGTTAAATAAAGCACTAACGCTTTACGATCGACAATCTTCTTTGAATGCGTTCATACGCGACAGTTTAACAACTTGGAATTAAAACGATCGATAAATATCAACGTCATCGCGCGGAAGTATTCCTTCCTCCCGGTTTCCGCGGCCGTAATGCGTTCCTTCCACGACGGTTTACGAGCGTAATCTATCCTGTCGTGTCATCAGGATGCGCATTATGCAACTTCGAAACTTTTGCGCGCGTTAGGCGCCTCTCGTAAACGCGAACTGAGAAGTTCACTGAGTGAAATTAGGCAACGACGTATGCTTGTAAGCATACTTTCGAAAAGCTAAATGTAAAAGCCGACAATTGGCAGCTCCGGACGGTCATTCTTCTATCTCCAAATTGTAGAATTACATGGTTAAAAACTAATGACATATGTAACAGAGAGCAATAAATTAT